TGAGAAACCGGGGCTCATCACTAGCTGGCCTTGGGTGCCAGCTGGCTCACTCCACATGTTGGGTGCGCAGGCAGGCAGGGAAGTGTATCTCTCCACGTTTGGAGGAGGGGTTTCTATGTCTTTGGAGGGTCTCTCTGTATTTCAGTGCTGGTCAGGGGGCATGGCTTTGGTCTCTGTGAGAGGTCTCTCCATATCTCTGATGGGGCAGTGTCTCTGTCCTTGGAGGAATCTATCTTTGGGTAGTCTTTCTAGTGGAGTTTCTCTGTCTCTGGAGTTTTATCTTTGTATGTCTCACAGTCACTCTGTCTCTAGAGAGGTTTCTCTCAGAGCGTGGGGAGGGGTCTCTTTTGAAGTCTGTGTCCCTGAGGAGGATGTCTCTGTGTCTCTGGGAAGGATTTTTTTCTTGAGGGCAGAATGGGAGTCCCTTTCCATGTCTCCAGAGGAAGTGTAGAGGGCCCCTTTGAGTGGCCCTTTCCCAGGGGAATGGAGTTGGGGAGAGGAAGGAAAGGACCTCAGAACATCTGGGATAGGGGCAGACTCCCTGACAAAGAATGGGCCAACTCACCATGGGGAGAACATTAGCTTCTCCCCATCCTCTCTAGGGTCTGACTTACTGAAGAGGGGTCCACGTTCACCAAGGTAATTGTCCGGCTGATATAACTGTCACTCGGCAGCTCTCCAACACTTGGGTTCTCATGGAACCGCTCTATCGGCTGCTGGAAGCTGGAAGGTCAGGAGAGAGAAGGAGAAGCTCAGGTCAGGTGTCTCCTTTGCAGCCCACCACTCCTCCAATCAAGTTCTGAGCTCACCTCCTCCAGGAAACCCTCTAGGTTTCATTCTCCCTCCTGTTCTATCACTTTCTCATCTCTTATCACTTTCTCACCTCCCACTCACTTCTCCGCCCTCAGGCAATCTGATTTCCATCTTCACCACCTGACTGAAACTGCCCTCTTCTGAACCACCAGGAATTTCTCTGTTGCTAAATCCAATGACCTTTTCTCACTCTTCCTCCATCTCTCTGCTGCTTTGGACTCAGC